TACTTAGGTCACTTAACTACATTTTTAAGTCTTTCTTTGAAACATGTTGCCAAAACAAGAAAAGAGATGTTTTAAAGGTGGGTGTGGGGTTTTTGTGTTTGGTTGTTTTTTACTTAACTAGGAGTTAGATACCAGCTCTGGAACACAGAGCTTAGGACTGAGTTGGGGCCATGTGTTTTCAATGTGGCTGGTCCCTCCAAACGTTTGGTCTTCTAGTTGTTCTAGAGTCCTCAGAGGTGTAAGAAGTTAAGGTCGGTTAGTGATGGAAGGGGTTATGCTGTTTATTGTTATTTTACTAAATATTTATAGAATATAAAAGTCCAGTAATAATTTCTCCTCAGGCTATTTTGCACCAAGCTGGCTGTGACCGTGCCTGATACCTGTTCCTGTACCAAACTGCTCCTGGACTAGTGTAGAGATCTAACCAGGCTTGCCGTCCTCCTTCAAGAGCAAGAGCTTGTGGGGATCTCTGAGACCTGGTGCTACTCAGAACAGCCTTGAGACTGCTCAGTTTGTTTCAGTGGATGGAACCATTGATAACCCATGGGAAGTCAGCGTTTTCATGGCTTTAGCTGAATATTTGGGCCGAAGAGGTCTTTTGGTTTGATTTTTAAATTACATTGGTGAGCTAAAATATTCCTTGCGCTTAGTTAAGTACTTCTAGGAATATTCTGTCCCTGGGAAGCTGAAGTGACATTACTCAAAGGAGATCATGTTGTAATTGATTTGGATGAGTTATAGTTTCATTTAATTTTTTATTCCTGTTTTCTGTCCCATGAGTGCACTAGAAGTCTAAAGCTGTCTTTCAGTGAGGAATAGACAAACAGGAGCTTTTGTGTTTCTCACCACTTCCTCATCGACAGTGGTTTGATGGTGAAAGCCTTCCATAACCTGAACTGAGTTTTCGGCTACACAGAATGTAGGATTATGCTCTAAATTGGGATTTCAGTATGTGTTTACGCTTCCTAAAAGTTGATTCATGTAGCATCAGTTAAAATAACTCCAAAATAATACTCGCAGCATGATCCTTGTGGTTTTGTATGAAAATGATGCAGAGCTTCTTTGTTGGTGTGCAATCCATGTTTTATACCTTTTTTTAGCCTAGAAATTAGTTTGGTTAGGTTGTATGTCTCTTTCTGTTCCTTTTTGTATCATGAGCCTACTATAGATCTGTAGGCTAACTCACAATACAGATTTTAGACCATCTGTCAGCTCTGGAATATAATGTCAGTGCTTCTAAAAAAGCCTTTTTCCACATAAACATCTCCCTGTCCAGAGTCAGGAAGAGCAGCCCTTCCCATCTAAAACATACCTTTTAGTTTTCAAATTGCCATTTATTTGGCTTGGAAAAAGACAAGGCTCTCAGAGCAGGAACTCTACGGTCAGTACTGGATAGGGAAAACATCAGGGGTGCACAGATGCTAAGCCCTGCCTTTTTGGAGCAGTGAAGCTGGGTGAAGACCTGTCCTGGTCACATAGCAGAGAAAGTTTTCTTCTTTAAAAGGCACAGATTTTATTCCCCTCAGTATCACAGTTTGATGAATTATTTCTTCCTCCCTGAAAGGGTCTGAATGAAGCAGTGGGCTATGCCAGCACTGGGAGAAAGCTCAGTGCCGTGGACGGCTTTCTCCTGTGGTCCTGCTGAGCCGAAGCATGGAGAGGGGAGGAGCAGCAGCAGAGCAAATGTCTCCGGTGAGGCCCAGGAAACACTATCTCTTGCAGGCAGCTGCTCAGAGCCTCGTGGCGGGTGCCAGGCCCAGCGTTCTTATCGACACGCAGCTTCTCACCCATGTGTCGGGGCCCCGTGCCAGCCCTATGCTCTCTCCATACAAACCCCTCCTTTAAAACATTGCCTTGGGGGGCAAACAAATTCCCCTTGCTCATCAGCAGCCCAGCTCCACCAAAGGCAATGTGAAGTAGAATAGACCAGCTTAGTAAGCCGTCTACCTGCAATAAATTTACTTCCTAAAATAGCTGTGGGGTATTTTTATAGCAGCTACACAAGCCTTTTCTGTTCTGAGGGACTGTAAAGAAAACTTGGAAGCATTAGCTTGTATGTAAACTGGTGCAATTCAGCCTGAGTTTGAAGGCAGCCTGGAACAATAACTCTGGGAAGGGTGAAGTACCTGCTTAATCTCGGTTAAGGGTGAGACTCTTCAGGGCTGGTAGTTTTAGTAGGAACATCAGGTTTTAGTAGTCATCAGGTGCGTTAATGATCCCGGTATTTCACAAGGTCTCTCCATCAGCAGTATTGTTGTTTTAGCATTTCTATCTTCTGCCTATGACAAGAAGTGGGGAAAAGGAAGTTGTGTTTTCCTTCTTTAGACGAGTCTGGATGTAGGATCTCAACGTGAGTAAACGTAATAGTTGTGTGATGGCTCCAGGCTGGCCAAGGCCACTTCCTCCACCCGTCTCCCTCGACATGTCTCTTCACCTGTTTGTGCCTGGCCATCTTCCAGCTCCCATGTGAGGAGTGCCCTGGCTGAGGAGGAAAAAAAAAAAAAAAAGGTGGTGTCAACTGGAGAGGAGTGTGTGCTGCTTGGGGAGGATCAAGAATGCTTAAATTAGAAGCACCAAGGACAGCCCTTGCTCTTGCTATTTCTGCTGGAAGGACAGTTGGGCGTCCCTTTATCCTGCAGTTTCACCAAGAGAAACGATTAGGTTTCGCCTGCCGTTAGGTTGTGTTTACCAAGTCGAAGTGTGTAGTTTGCTTCTGTAGTAGCCTGGCTGAGAAGTCAGAGATGGGTCTGGGTGGAAAGCAGAGGATCTTTGTGTTAGACGCCGAGTTCTCCTGGGCCTGCCCACTGTTTCCTCGGTGCTGTGGGTGTGCATCGTGCTTCAGAAGCACTCGTTGAGGACAAGGTCTCAGCAGCCCAGAGAAGCTAAGCAGATCACCCACCGAGGAGGTGGGGAGGAACGTTTCCTAAAGCAGAGGGATGTGCTGGGTGACTGTTCAAGTGGAGCTTTACGTGTTGTTAATACCAGTGGAGGCAGTGTGCTACTGGCCAAGTGACATAGAATCATCAGGTTGGAAGAGACCTCTAAGATCATCAAGTTCAACTGTTGACCTAATACCACCATGCCCACTAAACCATGTACCGAAGTGCCACATATACATGTTTTTTGAACACCACCGCTTCTGTGGGCAGCCTGTTCCAATGTTTGACCACACTTTCAGTAAACATTTTTCCTGATGTCCAATCTAAACCTCCCCTGGCACAACGTGAAGCCATTTCCTCTTGTCCTATGGCTTGTTACTTGGGAGAAGAGACCGACGCCCACCTCACTACAACCTCCTCCCAGCTAGTTGTAGAGAGCGATAAGGTCTCCCCTCAGCCTCCTCCAGACTAAACAACCCCAGTTCCCTCAGAAGCTCATCCTAAGACCTTTTCTCCAGACCCCTCACCAGCTTCGTTGCCTTTCTCTGGACATGCTCCAGCTCCTCAGTGTCCTTCTTGTAGTGAGGGACCCAAAACTGCACCCAGCATTCGAGGGGCAGTCTCAGCAGTGACATGGGCGCAGCTGCACCAAACCAACCCTGCAGGGGTGTTTGATTCGAGTTGCAAATGGAGTTTGAAGTGAGCCGGATCTGAGTCGGGGTGTCAGGGCGCAGCGCTTTCCTTGGGGGATGTTTCTGTCACTGAGGCACTGTGTGCCTTTGGTGTTCTGCGTATTGAGGTGTCGGGCTGTCATGGCTGGGTATCCACATCTTCTGGGGCCCAGGGTGGGGATGGCGTCAGCTGTCACCTGTCACCCAGAGTGAACAGGCAAGTTCCCGACTGCCCTGGAGCCACCATGCGGGACCTATTCTGTTGCAAAATGACCACGAAGAATCTGCAGGAGCCATCTCCCCGGGAATACCAGCCTGGAGCCTCCTCTGCAGCTGGTGCTTCCTCCACCCCAGTTCCTTCTTGGATATCAGGCATTTGGCCCGTCAAGGGGCTCACGTTAACCCTTCCCCTGACCTTGTGCACTGCTTATTTTCACTTCCACAGCTGTTGGATTCAAACTGGGAACCTTTGGTGCGAAGGCAGTGACGTTTATTTTTGATCTGTGGCACTGTGTGAACATTAATTAGGACTGATAATAAAGAATGCAAACCTATTGGCACCCTTCTTGATGGTTTCAGCGAGGAATGTTGGCGTGGTGACAGCTCAGCTGCTGCTCTGTGCATAAGAAGCAGGCACTAGCCAGTGAACATGTTGAGGAAACAGAAAATATTTTAGTGATTCCTAAATATGTCCATCCCTGTGTTTGAGCAGAAGTTTGCCATCTTGGCTGCTGTGTGCCAATGCTATGGAAACATCAGTTATTTATGGGCAAAATAAAGGCTGTGCTTATGTCATAGCAGTACAACTAAATATTTGGGCAGCCCATACACCGCTGGTGGCGTGGTAACTAGATGAGCAAAACTGGGATGGCTTGGGGTGTGAATGACACCGTGCTGGTGTATTTGTAACCGTAGGTTACCATCCAGAAAATACCTGTATGGTTAAAAATACTCAAGAGAATGGATATGCAGGCGTTTCTGGAGGTAACCCGAGTCCTGAGAATTGCTGAGAGTCTTTCCATTTATTTTGGTGACTGCTGTACGGAATGTGAGAGTTAATATTACAGGTGAATGTCTGTAGGACCAGGCCCCTCATGAGGAAAATAGCGTCACCAAATCATCAGAACTCAAGATGTCATGTGGGACCCTCTCAGGTCCTGGTAGCAGCTCTGATGCTGATCCCCAGGCTATAACCTAAATGCTGTTAGGAATATTGTCACATCTGGGTTAGCCTGTGCTCTGCGATGGTCAGATCGCTGCGCCAGCAGGTCCGGAGAAGGAATAGATGGATATAATAGCCAGGGCTGGCTGTGGCTGTACTGGAGGGTGGAGACAGAAGGAGGTTTGATGATAGTGCAGCTGCTCCCCTGGAATATGACAGAGATTGCTAAAGGGGAACCAACAGTTCAGTTGCTTCAATATTCCCCTGGTAATGAGGAAATGTCACAATATGGGAAGCTTCATCCTTTCCTGTCTCATTTAGTGGTAAACTTGGATATTGAAAACCACAACCAGACACCAAAGCCTATGTAATGTTATTATATAAATAAATACAGTTATTCAGTTCCACAGATTAACTCCTGGTGACAGAGAGGCTCTCTCCCTCCTTTTTGACTTTGTTCTGTTGATTCGGTTGAACATCCCCTTACACTGCATCAGGAGTAGGAGCAAATAACCTCAGTTATTTGTCTTTGCTGAAAAAGAAAAAAAATGCAGCATTTATAGTTGCTCGTATGGGTCTTCCCTGGTGCACTTCCACATGCTTTCGTTGCCCTTCTCCTTTCCCCTTCTGCCTCCGCCGTGTCCTTTTTGACAAAGAATGACCAGAAGCGCATGTAGCAGTCCAGATTGGGGATTGCTGCTGCTGTGCCTAATAGGATTATAAGATTTTCAGCATTAATCCTTATCCTATTCTTTAGGCAGACTAACCTTTTACTTAGATTTTTGCCTCCTGTTGCACAATTAGTTGACTCTTCAGTGATTTCTTTACAGCTGCTGTTTTGTTCTTTTTCAAGGTGATTGTAATTGATGTAGACCTCCAGCATGGAGCACTGTAAGAATTCTTAGACTGTTGTGGTTATTTGTTTAGTACTTCAGGTGAGCTTTTCCTGACTCACTGATGAATGTCACTACTTCCTTGCCTTTCCCTATACCCTGAGGGTATGTGTTTGTTTTAGTCCAGGCCGTAGGAAAGTATCTGTGTAGCTTTAAATGTAGCAACTACTACATCAAGCTCTGGGAGTTCCTGGTTTGCCAATCAGGATGTCTGCTTCTGCTTTTGCACAGAGGGTAAAAGAGCCAAGGCTTTTCAGGGTACATAGCTCATTCAAAGGAGCTTTGAAAGATGGAAATGGGTGGGGAGTGGGTTGACTCTGTATTTGTAGCCTGGTTTCCTAAGGAAATGAGGCTTAAGCAGTCTGGTTTTCCACCGCTGCTAACTTTTGGATCCGCAAAGCGGTTGTGGCCGGAATAGATGGGTCAGAGAGGTCTCCAATATTAAGTTTGTACATTATTTGTAAGACTTAGCTGCTGGATGGGAGATTGTCTCATAGCAGTGGCTGCCAGGAGGTAAAAGCTGCAGTGTAACTCCATAGGTAGGTGGTTAATTTGGCTTGCCACCTAGCAGGCACCAGTCAGGCAGTCAGTGCATGTACCACGTAAGGAGTTGTAGCACGTGTGGTTCCCAGGTCAGCTGGCAGTTGTGGGAGGGAACTGAGGGTCTGTGCTGTGATTTCAGGGTGTATGAGGAAAGCTGAAGGTCCTGTGGTGTGGTTCAGAGAGCATCAGGTAGATCTGGAGTGTTGGAGAAGATGAGAGAGATGAGGAGGAACTGGGGAATAGCATGGTTGGAGTTTGTGTGGCTTGGGCTGCTGCCCCTCAAACTGTGGGCTGTCAGGATAACTGTCAGTGAGCGGCTTGTTTCAGAGCTGATGGGCTGATACACAGTGGAGGAGCAAGGAGCACGGAGCACAGGAGCTCCAGGATATGGGAGAGGACATGTAAGGAATAGCAGAGTAAGAAGCTGGTGGCACTACAGTCATTGAAGGAGAGAAGGGACTGAGGTGGGATGTGACAAGAGACCGAACTAACAGTAGTTAGGATCAACATTTTTCAGGCATTGGAAAGCAAAGATAAGAATATTGTTTCAGCTTCGTAGGCAAGGGTAGCCTCTGTGAGCATGTGTAAGAGGCAGGGGGGAAGAGATTTAAACACTGGTGTGTCCAGGTGGGGTAGAGATCAGTAAAGCACACAAGAGAGGTGGGAAAGGAGGCTTGGGCAAGGAATGACTTACTGGCTTGGGCAGAGGGACAAAGAATCAGCCTTGGTGTTGTGTCTAGCGTGCGGAAGGAGTGATTTGGCAACAGTCTGAGCGTGGGGGTGAAGGAAGGCAGGAATCCACGATAGCTTTAATTACGCAGGAAGCTTGGATGAGAGGGAAGACAGAAGTATTGTCCAGGGGAGAGGAACTGAGGGAAGAGATAGAGGATCAGCGTCTATGTTTGAATTAAATCAGTTGTATTCAAGCCTGATCCAAAGCCTAGTGAAGACTGGAATATGTCCATGTGCAGGTACTTGTCTCCAAAACCCTGAATATACTTTACAGAAATGCCCAAATGTCTTTTATCTTCTGTTTATAGGGTGTACCCAGAGGTTACGTGACTCCAAGCCCCACAGTAAGCTACAGCAATGACAAAACTGGGATCCAACATTCCTTAAAACAGTTTTCAGTTGGGTAAACCATAGCAGTAATAAATGTCCATATATGCACACAGCATGCTACAAGGCAAACGGCGAAACTCTCAATCTCCAATTTAGGGAGAGCACATCACCTTATTAACTGTCTCTTGCTCTGCATATGCAAAAGTATTACGTAGTTTCCTTCCCTCACAGGAATTTTTTTTCAAGTGTTTATTGTCTGCAACTAATTCTTTTCTAGTGATCCTGTAAACTATTTGCTTCTTCAGGATCCAGTTACTTTCAGTTACCAGCACAAACTGAGGAAACGAGTATCAATCATTCAGTGATTATTTGCAGGAAAGAAAAGCGTGAGATAGCAGCCAGCCCCAGGCCAAGAAGGAAGGACAGAAATGCAGTACTTTTTATGAGTAGAGCCAAAAATGTTATTCATGTGCTTGGCTGTTAGTTTCTGAATATTGTGGAGCTTGCTTCCATTTGTGAGTTGAAACTTCTTTGGATTAGGTCCCGCTACCATTGAACTCAGAGGGAATATTTGCAGTGAGAACAGGATCAAGCTATTGTCTGTGTGTTCTTCCTTGCCTTAACTGGTGTTGCTGTTTGTTAAGATACTGCAAGGGGACAAAGTGCGTGTGGTTTCCCAGAAGCTTTCTGAGCATTTGTGTCTAATCCTTGCATATAGCACAGCCCCTGTGGGTGATATAGGTTGAGAGATGACTGTTTCCAGCAAAGCTTTTTGAAGCCGGTGTGAAGCCTCTGTAAATACTGAATCTCCTCGCTCAGTAGCTGCTTTTCTGAAGTCTGCATTGTGCTTCAGGTTTTGCTAAGCTATGCTACAGTAAGCATGATGAAAAGCAGGCAAATCATCTTCGGTCACTGCTTTGGAAATCAAGATGTGTGCTGGCTCACCCCGTTCTTTCGCAAATACCTTCTTGAGCTACGGGAAGTACGATGGTACACCATATCCCAGACTGTTAATTTTTAATGCCTTATGCATGTAATGGACTCGGCTGTAATTATGAGTCCCACGGCACACAGTCACTACTGGCAGGATGGGAAAGATGACTGCGGGTCCGTGTGGCTCCACAATTAGGGATTGAAACATTGATCATTTCCATTCCCAAGAGCAGCGGAAACAGCTGTATGAATTTAAAGCAAAAGCTGCAGTGGAAAGGGTGGCAGTTACAAGCCAATAAACATTCCTCTGCAATCTATTAAATTCAGACTTTGCAGCATCATCCTACTGCATTGAATAAAACTGACTGAAACCTGGGCAGGGCAGAGTGGTTTTACAAGCCTATGCTTATGTCCAGAATAGTCAAAGTGAATAAGCAGCTAGGCAGTGATGCAGAGAGGAGTTAGTATAAAAAATTCTCAACATTTTTTTTCTCAGTAGTGCTATTTTTAACTTATGGATCCTGATTCCTTTCTTACATGAAATCTTGAAGCTGACAGCATCCCTTTCAGACTTGAAAATGAAAGGGAACTGTCTGAAAGAACAGTAGAGCTGGGATTTTCAGGCCTGATCCTGTTGGCAGATCTTGGTGGGCAAATTCCTCCTCCTTTGTGCCTAAATGGACTTTACTGAACAGTGCAGGGCTCTTCCCTTTAGCAGGTTGAACACAGGATAAGGCCCCAGCATTCAAACCCTTGCACCAGTAGAACTTAGATGCTGCTTTATCCTGTGCTGGCTTTTCAGAGTATTGAACAGAGGTGGAAGGGATTTTAGACAAACGATTCTCCTTTTGTCCTGCATCCGAAAGCAATACTCCTGTATTCCTGTGTCATAGTAGATTATTTTGAAATCAGATTTTTAATTTCCTTTTAAAACTGTGGTGGCATGTTTCATTTTGGTGTTTGTTTGTTTTATGTATAACTCATTAGGTACAGCTCTGGAAACCATTGCAAAAGGAAAGTCAGCCTGAAACCCTGCTCTTCATTCTTGTCACTGGCAATAGTTTCTCTGAATTCAGTGCTGCAAAATCACTCCTGTACTGTACTTAGTGCACTCAAGCTTAAATCAAATCCTAACACTTTTTACTAGTGCAAGAAACACATTTAACAGGAAAAAAAAAAAATCTTTCTCTGTGACAAGAGATCAATTTAATCCATTTGTTGTTTGTGTGTTTTTTTCCAGGCTTATATTTGGCACTCTTTACCCTGCATATTATTCTTATAAAGCCGTGAAATCAAAGGACATCAAAGAATATGTGAGTAATGAGGTTTGCAGCTGTGCTGCAGGGTTTGTTTTCTGCTCTCACTCCTCACCGCACTGTAAAGGTGTTGCCTGTGTTCTGGGAAAGCTCGTAAACCAGTGCAAGGGGAAAGACTGGCCCGGAGGTGGACTGGCTGATTGCTAGGCAAGGAGACTTGGGTTTGTGCTTCTGGCTCCTCTGTGGAATTGATGTGCTCTTTGACAACTGTATGCTATTTCTCTGGTGGTGCGAGCTATATACAGACGACTTAAAAGGTGTTTGGCATCCAGAGCTTTGCGTGTTTTCCTTTGTTTCTGAGGAGCAGCATAAATCAAAGCCTTTTCAAAAAGCCTTGAAGCTTTAGCTGCTCATTCAAAACAAGGATCAGAGGAGGCAACTGGAAGCACATATGACTGAATCCTCAGATAGAAACATCCTTCCTAGTGGAGCGACCTATTTACAGGCAGGTCTGGCAACTATGTGTGCTGTCTTGTCCTTTTGCTGAAAAATCTTCCCTGGGCCCCAGTTTCTAAAGGCTTATGGGGCCGTCAGGGAAAGTGAAACGTGGGAGAATCAAAACCACTTGGATGCTGTTGGGGTCCTGTAGGATTTGTAGTGCCCTTCACAACCTGAGCTCTGTTAATGTCACTGAACCCAGCTCAGCCTCCAGATCTTGACTCTTCAATCCTCTCAAGATCCCAGAGATAACAAGCCCATTTTCTGCTCTGGGTAGCAGCCTAGATGGCTATCCTGTTAAGTCCTTAGTGTAAGCTCAAACTGGGACTCACTGTGGCTGCAGAGATTTTTACTTTCTATCAGTCCACTCCTTCAGATAATGGTTTTGGATATTTTGAGAATAGTAGGTATTACAGAACACATCAGGTGCTTCAGGCAAAATGTCCCTGCAGCCCTTGCACAGCTGTGCTTCTGAGAGTTTGTACACCCTTTGCTTGGAGCTGCTGAAGATGTGCACTAGCATCCCCAAGCAGCGTCTACCACTGATTCTTAACATTTCCATAGTACTTTTCTGGAAAATATTTAGTGGAAGGGTCCAGTTCCTGTTGGAAATTTAATTGCAAAAGAGGAACTCGCATCAGACATGTGAGGTCATGACCCAAATGTGGGAACGGCTGATCTGAGACCTGGTCTGCACTTGTAATTGTTTTCAGTTTAACACATCAGTTGTGGCAATACATCTGTTAGAGGTCAGATTAAAAAAAAAAAAAAGAAAGTAGTAATTTACACTGACACAGTACAAACCCTTCATGTACTGATTGAAACTTCTATCACTGTAGTTTATTTTCATTTTGCTTGGTAACAGTCATTTTGATAAATGGTGTTTTAGGCTGATCCAAGCCCATCCGCACCAGGTCTTGGTTTGTGTTTAAAAGTTTTGCTGGCAGTAATGTCTGACTGAGAGAACTGTGCTGGCACTGAGGCTTTGAGGGAGTCGCAGTTATGTAAAAAGTCTGGCAGAAGCTGCCCTGGGAAGACAATGCCCTCAGGCATTTGGCAGTGCCATTCTACTGCTGTAACACTCAATATAGATATACATACAAACATAAATATAAATCCCAGAGAAGCAGTTATAAAGCTGGGTGACAGGTGCTCAGGGAGTAGTTGGAGAATGAAGGAGACTGCAGGTACTGTCCCCACTGCATCCAAGAGAAGATGGAGCAGGCCATTTCAGAGCTGGTGAGATCCAGATTTATTGCCACCTCCATCCTCCCTTCCCCAGAGGGGCACCTGGTATAGGTATCCCTCTTGTACTGCCTTCTTTCCAGGCTTCTCTTATTCTGTCGCAATTATTCAACCCTTAGGTAACATGGTTTAATTCTCTAATTCATGGATTTTAATGGATTTTATTTCCTTCAGCTTTCTAACATTCCAGCAAAGCTGCTTAGGGATCTCCATTTTCAGATACAGCTAATTAAACAGCAATTCCAGTTAAACTTTAAGGTTTACAGTTTTACAATGGAAAAAAAAAATATTGAGAGGGAATAAAAGGTTTCTCTCTCATCTGCAGTACTTGGAAATTATTACTTACCTTGTATCTGTGGTGACAGTGCCTCAGAAAGGCAGCAGCACATCGCTGGAAGTGCTGATGACATATAACAAATACGTTGTTTCTTTCCAGCCCGAGAACCACCAATACTGCATACATCAGAGTAGTTTTAACCGTGCTTTTAAATGCCATTTAGTGCTCAGTGACAAAAATCCCCAGATCCCTGAATTGCTTGAGATACTACAGTTTCCCTGACCACGTCTCAGTCCCCAAAGACTTTCTGTGTCTGCTACTATCACCGCAGAGGAGACTGTTCATAAGTCACCCGCCAAGCAGTCCGCCCCACAGTGGAGTTGCCATAGTTGAACACAGTGGCAGCACATGCTTTCACTGCCAGTGTGAGGTAAAGTGCTCTCACCTAAGCCCCAGGTAAGGGATTTAAGCTACTAGGCTTGCCCTTGTCACTGCAGTGGGCTCAGGGTGTGGGTGTGAGGAGGTGCCCCCACTCAAGTGGTGCACGCTAATTCGGTAAGTTGCAGTGAGTCGATGGTATTCCAGAGCCCTGGATCATGGGATGGGCAGTTACGTCTCTGTCTCTTCCTGGCTAGATTCCCCTGCCTGTAGGTACTATGTAAGTAATTACATTTTGTCTTCATGGCAGTTTGGCCAACACCCCAGTATTAACCTTTGCTATTAAGATGAGCCAAGTGAGATTTTTAATGCCCTGTGATAGGGCTGTGGTCCTCTGCTGGCCCGTGGAGCTTCCCCTGTAGGGCCAGAGTCAGGCTGCTCTTATTTTCATGAGACCAGTCCTAAAGGCCACGATCTTCCTTCCCAAGGGCTTGTGTGGAAATCTGGCAATCTGACATTATGTGCGGAGGTGGGGGGAGCTCTGGCATCTTCAAGTTCTTAGTAATTGTTAAATACACAAGGGGGGGAGGGGAAGGAACCTTTTTTTCTGTGCACTCATGCCTGTATGAGAGAGTTCGAGGCCTTTTGGGAAAAATGACCCAGCTGCTGTTTTTGTTTACCAGGTCAAATGGATGATGTACTGGATCATATTTGCGCTCTTCACGACAGCAGAGACATTCACGGATATCTTTCTTTGCTGGTGAGAACCTAGATGGGAGTGGGTCTTTGGCTTGAGATGGAAAGAAAATGGAAGTGTTTACAAGGCGGGAGAAAAAGGGACACAAAGGTGCACTGCCTCCTGAACACGGGGATTGCAGTTTCAGGTGCTTAGCGGTGTTTTATCTGGTGGAGCTGTGCTTCCTTTCTCGGCGCTGTCATAAGAAAAGCAAGAAAGAGGATGGAACTGTTCAGTGATATCTCATTAGTGAGAAATCATTACAGGAGTCTCAGTCCTCTGCCTGTCAGAGAGGCGCAGCTGATTGCTGAGTTGGGCGCTTGCAGAGATCATCACGTAAACAACAGCAGCTTTAGCTGCAGGCACAGTTCTAGACTTACCTAGCTGTGTCCTGTGGTAAATACAGACTCTAGGGATCAGGCAGAAACAGCCCTGCAGCACAGGACTTTGTTTGTAGGTTGCTACATGGGTGTTTATTCCTGGGATGTTTTGCCAGACCCATTCCTGGGTAGCCGGGTTTAGGATTTGATGGAGGACAGTGACAGTTCTTACTGGTGTGGGCTTTCTGGTGCCAGTGGAAGGACAAGAGCACATAAATGCCCAGTTATCAGATTCAGTTCCTACAATTTGGATGCTCAAGTTTGGAAGTGTTTGTTGCTTGGTTGCCCTTTTCAGTAAGGCCTTTCTAGTGGAAACCAGTGAGATCAGTAGACTTCAGGATAAAATTTAACTGTAGTTGATGTAGGCCCCCATCTAAACCCTGTTGCTGCGTAGCACGGCATGCCTCTAGTGAGTCCTCCAGACAAAGGGAATCGGGGGTACTTGGCAACATGTCAGATCTGGTGAAAAGGAGATAAAAGACGTTATTGTCTCTCTGTCCAATTTGCATGCAGATCTACCTCCACTATGCTCATCTGGAGCTTTGTCTTTTTGGAGGAGGTATTATGTGGGTCTCTTGGGAGGAATGACAGAGGGCTCGTCCAGCCTGTGAAATCAACTGCGCTGTACAGATCCTCAGTGAGGGGGAATACTGACGCTGGCAAATCCATGCTTAGCGCAGAGCACTGCAGAAGTCCATCGGGTCAGACCTGTATGGCCCAGCTGGCTCAGTGGCGGTGCTGTGCTGGCGCAGCAGGAGTCTGCTTGGGTCCAGCTGAGCTGGTGCACCGTCGTCACAGGGTCTCTGCACTGCTCTGGCTTGCCCCTGCCTACGAAGGTGTTGGTTCATCACGCTGCTGGCAGCAAAGTGGCTGCCCCCATGAGGATGCTGCTGGTTGGCCAGCCTTGAGCTTTAGGCCTTGTCCTCCAGAAAAGAGTCTGCATAATTTAATCTCAAGAAGTCCCTGGCTTGTTACAGCTAAACATGTCCTGTTGTTAGTGTCCTGCATATTTTGCAGTGCTACCTGAAAGCCACAATGTGGATCTGCACCTTTATGTTGCATGTTGCTTGGACAGCAAAGGTTCTTGTATTGCAGTTTCAGTCAGATAAGTGTTATCTTAAAAGCAGAAAGGCAGAGAGATGAAAGGTGCATAAATATATCAATGAAATACTGATTTGCTGGTTTGCTCTTTGCTCCCTCATAATGACTGAGGGTGCTATGAAGGCAGCATCTCTGCTCTTTGCATGTAGAAAGCTCCTCTTATCACACAGCAGAGTCTCTTCCAGACCATTAAATAATGTCCTTGATACCCGAGTAAAGACTTACCCACATGCCTAGTTGAGATGTGTGCAGAGGTGAGTGAATGTGTTTAGGTCTTTGGATTCTTTGGTAAGCAAAAGCTGCCCTAGGCTAGACTGGCCAGTCCCTTCCTGTGCTGAGCATCTTTAATTAAGGGCCATGGTTGAGTTGGTCGTGGACATTAACAGATCTTTTTCTTCTAGGTTTCCGTTCTACTATGAACTCAAAATAGCTTTTGTAGCTTGGTTGCTGTCTCCATACACAAAAGGCTCCAGCCTCCTGTACAGGAAATTTGTTCATCCAACGCTGTCTTCAAAAGAAAAGGTAATCACAGGTGCCCTGGTCCTCTCTGGGTGGGGCAGATCTACAGTGTGTTTACTCCAGTCTTCGTTATCACTCATTTTCCTTGAAGGACTGGGAGTTGCTGATTCTCTTCCTCTGTCATTTGATCATCTCCCTTTGGTTGGTGTTTTTGTTCTTTGTGGTTGTTGTTGTTAAATACTGGCATCTGTTCAGTTCACACATATTAACTCATCTTTGTGCGCTGGAGAAGTTGGGAGGAAGGGGGATAAAAATACCTCCTGAGCTGCTTTGCACCTACCGGCTGAATATAGCTGGAGTGCTGTGTTGTGGCTGGGGATAACGATTAGAGAAACAGGGTCTGGCAGCCAGGGGTCCTTGACTTTGTTCCCAGCTCTCCGTAAAACATTGTGCAGCAATGAGACAAACACCCAAGCCTGTCTGAAAGGAGCTTAGCAAGCACTTGCCTGGCTGGGAGATGTGTAGCATGCTGTAGTAAGGCATGTAGCATGTGGAGGTCCTGGGTTGAGAAATGTCTTGCTCAAATTCGTGATGCTAACTAGGGAGCGGACATGGGGACGGGACACTACAGCTTGGATCATTTGCCTGCCTAGGAGATTCCTGTGGCTGTGCATGGGACATTGTTAGATAGATCCATTTGGCTCGTGTGGATACATGGGCCAAGAATGGTTGTCAGTCATGTATCAACATGCAGACTACTAAGAAGTGAATAACTGTTTCCCACACTCACAACTATGAAAGTGAAAGGTCTCTGTTTAGCTACAGGCAGTGCATGAACACATGTATCTCCGTTCTGTCCAAGGAGGACAGTGGGGATCAGTCCCCTGTCTTTCTGCTTCCTGGTAACTTTTGTTTACGCTTCTCATAAGTAGTGCTTGTGCATTTTGGGTTGCCATCTCTTATCTACTAGGAATAGGGAGGGAATCACTAAACAGCAGCAGCTTCTCGCAGCCTCCAGTCCTTACTAACCCAGCACATCCAGTAGCCGAGTATTAGAAGTCATTGTCATCCATTATCATCCAGACCCCTGTTTCTTGAGGGAGGGAGGGTGAGGGCAGGAACTTTCATAACCATTTCACTGTATATTGAACAGCATCAAAGTCCAGAAGCTCTGGACCTACCAGTTCCATGGGCTTGTTGAAGCTGGACACTGCAGTGGTGTGCAGAGATATCTCAGATACTTCTGAGAGCACCAGTCCTGGACCACAGGCAGTAAAGCTGCAGCTGCCCAGGGCCATAATACGATTATTTTTAACTATGGGGCAATGCAATTTGTCTTTGGAGTCCATAGACTGAAAATGGCTCCTGACGCACCCTGGTCCATTGTGCCCAGGTGGATGTGTCTGTCTTGCTTCCAGCACCTCTTGGTGGTGACTGCACTGTGCAAGCGTATCCCAACTTTGGGTCCCAACCTTCCATTCACGGAATAAAGAGTTCCCAGAGCCTTCAATGGCAGTTACTGTTCCCCTGCAAACTTTTCCACTTTGCAAATGTTGGCTGTGAACTTCTCTGCAGCCAAGGTGGAGGAAATGGAGGATGTCTGCCTCCATAAAAGATGACCTGGCCCTGCCAAGGGTTTGAGGCTGGGAGCACTCTGAACTTGTCCTTCTTGTGCTTTTTTGTTTGTTTTGTTGTCCGCTGTGACAGGAGATTGATGACTGCCTCGTCCAGGCAAAAGACCGGAGCTACGATGCCCTCGTGCACTTTGGGAAGCGGGGGCTGAACGTCGCAGCCACGGCAGCCGTCATGGCAGCTTCAAAGGTAAAGGTGCGGGTCAGGATGGTGACATTAAGCATCTCATCTGCATCCATTGCCTACAGCAGCCACAGCGTGGAGGGGGAGAGATGGTGAGAGTAGGGATTCTCTCACTGGTTTTGATCGTGCCTCGCAATCTCCCATTCACCAGCCACCCAAGTGCCTCTTGGGATGAAGACAGTAAGTGTGGTGCTAGTGAACCTATAGGAGGTTGGAAATGAAGAGTTAGGACTAGGGTCTGCCTCGGGCCTCTGAATTTTATATTTTCCATCTGTACCCAGGTGACACCGTTAGCAATTCTGTTCATCACAGCCTGTGCTCTTCTTTTTCACTGTCAAAATAGGAGCATGCTTCCATGAAAGATGCTGACATCAGGTGAACAGAGTTAACACCCCGGCAGGGAAATTTTTTGGTTTTTGGTCAGCACCTTCTGCAGTGAAGGGAAAGGCCATCTGCAGCCCAGTTTGTCAGTTGTTATGCTGGATTACTGAGAAGTCTGGAGGATCTGGTGACCTATAATTTGGGTACCGACAGAAAGCAGATGTGATCTGAAGTTCCTGGAGGCTAAAAGTTTGTCTGCAAGGCTTACACGTAACATACCTGGTGTATAATTCTCTGGGACATGTTTATGTAAGAGTGAATGGGAAGTGGCATTAGTTGCTTTTGGAGAACGAGTAGATATTGGATGAGTGGTCTCATCTGAGGAAGTGTTTCCTGTACCGTGTTCCTGGCTTAGAGCCAGAACCAGAAAATAGCTGTTATCTCTGTTTCTTTGCTTGCATAAAAGCTGCAAGGACTTGATAACTGCATTTTGTGGTCCTGCTCTCTAGCCATGGATTGTCATGGCTTAGGGTAAATGCTCACCGTGACTGTACCCCTGTGTTTTAGGGACAAGACTTGTATAAAAGATAGAGTTTCCATGCAGTCAGATACAATGCCTCTTGCAAAATGGTAGTAGGAACATATGGGCAAGGTGGTATTAGGAAAAACATGTGAATGGGATTTGAAGGAAATTGTATTCCTCTGTCAAATGCTTTTCATATATCTCAGGCACATAATTTTAGTATGTCTTGTCCTTACCTTCTCTAAAAATGTGTAATACATCCTTAGGAGGCCAAATACCATAAAGTCTATAAAGCATGCTGAATGCAAGGTGTTATAGAAGTGGGGAGACCTTGGGCTATGCCATCGTATATAGGATCGCAAGGATATGCAAAAGCTGTATTCTGTTCCAAAGAAAAGCCAAAAATTGCTTCCCCTTTCCCTGCCAAGCATTGTGCAGAGTGTGGCTGTCAGGCCTGGCTCAGTTCTTCTGAACTGTTGCTCTTCAGTGGGGAGGCTCTGCTAACCCCGGGACTGCTGGCTAATCCAAACCTGGGATAAACGTGGAGCTAAGGCAAAGCTGTGTGTTACATGCCCAGCGAAACAACATTTGTGTGATGCCTCTGTGACCCTGAACACTTCTGCTGCTGCTATGTAAGCCTGAAGAAGTTGCACCATGGACGTAAATAGATTCTGGGAATGCCTATTTTGCAGCAGTGCCTTTGCTCTGAGCCCCCTCTCCTACAAGGTGCTGCAGACTCTCCGTGCTAGAGCTGTTTTTAGGACAGACTGAGAAACTATGTGTGAATCCCGAAGACGCTCTGACTCCTGAATACAAGAAGCTCAACAGTAGCCCAGACCCACATTGCCAACCTGTTCATCTCGGGACTGCAACAGGGTCTTCATCAGCTCTTCAACCTGAATGAACAGTTAGCACCACAGTTTTTCTTCCCACTGTTCTGCTTTTCTGGTGGTTTTCTTAAGAGTCGTACTGCCTTGAAATGTGGCTCCGGTGGCAGTGGGCAGCTGGTTGAAGGGAGAAGTCTCCAGGGTACAAGGAAGCCATTGTTTTGCATGAGTTAATGAAGCTTTCCATTCAGTGGTGGAAGAAAGCAACCCTGTGACTTGTGTGGTATTGTTGTATGGCACATCTGCCAGCCCAACTTGAGAGAAAACAGTTAAGATATTGTAACCTGTAAATGGACCAGAAGGCGCTACTTTGGGGAGGGGAAAATGATCTCTTGATAAAATTGAGAGGTTGTTACTGGATTGATCGATTGATTTTTACAACAAAGCAAGGACTGTTCCTGTCTTTGCTTCAGCCTTGACATTTAAATTACTCTGAATATGTGAGGAACAGTAGGACTCATGGCTTCCCTCACAGCTTCATCACATGGCCTCCAGCAAGTTGCTTGCTTCCGTGTGCCTCAGGGTGCAGATCCAAGAGACAGGGTGAGCTGATCTGACAGCCCTTCTCCTCCAAAATGGGGTGATGCTCCTGCTCCCGGTGGGTTACTGTGCACCAGCTCTTTCGACCTCCTCAGGTTATCTCTATCAGAAAGCTAACCCAGAAAGAGAAAGAAAGGGAATGTGGTTTTTCAAGCCCACAAATGTGTCTCATGAGCTGGCACAAGGGAAGGGACAGAACTGCATTGTGAGGAGTATGGTCAGAGGAATGGAAAGCATGATCTTCCTTTCCTGGCCATGGGAAGCAGGCAGATCAGCTCTGCTGCTCATGGAACCACACCCTTAATACATTTACACTCTTCATGGTATAATAGTCAGGAACGATTAAAGCAGCTTCTGTCCCTTGCACTTCTCAAACTGAATTTGTTGTCTTTTGGGCAAGGAGAGCTGAATGGCTGTATTTACGGCCTGATGTGTTGCAGTACAGAAGTGCTGAGCTGGGATTCCTCAGGTATTCGGGATGTGAAGTCTGATGGGTTGGGTGCAGACATGTCTCCATTTAGCTGTCCCTGCTGCTGTGAAGGGAACCATTTCCAAGAGGGGAACAATCCAAGCAGGTATGGGTGGTAACAGCTTCTGTTGCCCTGGTTTTCAGCTGCTGTTAAATGTATGTCAACACCCTTACTTGCTCACTTGGGAAGGAGGTATAACAGAGCTAGATTATCCTGCGTGAGAGAAGTTTAAATGACTAATTATCTGGAAAACACTTTGAGCTGACAGATGCCAGACAAGACGGCAGTGCTGTCCTTAGGGGGACATTTCCAGGGAGGGAAGAAAGAGAGTACTATTTCTAAGGCTTATCCTGGCCTTCCTGATGCCAAGGTTTAAGGGTACCCAGCTAGCCTGTGATGAGCATTGAGTGTAGATGGGAAACTGAGCCCTGAACAGGTTCATTGGGTTTTGGCCTTTAATGGATCATGTTAAAATTGGAACTTAGATAGGGATGACCCTATATTCAGAAGCACTGAGCTCCTGCAGTTCCATGGAAAACGTGGCTTTTACCAGCAAGTGAATGTGAAGGTCTGTCTTAATTTCCCGCTTCACTTGGATTAATGGGCAAGGAAAAGATGCTTTTGTATTAAGAAATGGACGCTCAGACTTAGCAAATCGGCAGCTTCTGGTGGCAAATACACAGTGAGCTGCTAGGCTGAAAGTGTACTCTGTACAGACCTGGTTTCAGTAAACTAGCGTAAATCTAAGGGCTCCTGTACTTGGAGACGTGTCTGCTGCTGTGCATAGCCCTGTCCTCTCTCTCTGAGCTGTGCTAACGGATCTTCTCGTGCTCCCATAGGGCCCTTCATGGTCTTTTGTCTTTGGTGATAAGATCTTTGGACAAGCCCCATCTCTTAATTCTTTTTATCCATCCTGCAGCACAGGGTGGCTGGCTCTGATTGCTGTTTGTGTGTGACAGGCTACTGCTTATATATGTACCACAGGCTAAGATGCTGCAAGCTGTGTACAGCCACACCTTCCTTATCTCTGATCCCCTGGCCCTTTCCACTTTCTATCTTAAATAGCCTACAGTTTTAGTTAGCCAAATGCAGGCTTGTCTCCCTTCCCCTTCCTCCCGCTCCCTTCCCCCTGCTCTGTTTTGTTTTGAAGCCACAGTTGTGCTAACACTGGCACAAACCTGTGCCAATTCGTTTTACGGGCTAAGGAGCTGTCAGTGTCCCAAGTACCCTGAGTCTGCCCAGCTGGCTCGCTTGGGTGTTTTCTCTCTCTGGAAAGTCTATTTTTGATGCTCTGTAAGCAGACAGAGCATTGGATAGCTGGTCTTATTACCCCTCCTAGGTGCTCAACACAGATCTTTTTCCTGCCCCCAGCAGCTTGCATCCCCACCAAGGAACATAATCTTATTTGGAGCTCTCTAATCCTGTCCTCATTGCTTGGTCATTCTGTCACACGCTGTGACTTCAAGTGGGTCAGTCCTAAGTGGTGGGATTAGATGACCGGGCAGTAAATCCTGCTGCTCTTTATGTGTTTTCAATTAGTTCCAACTAGTTCAGCCATTCCTGCGCCCGAAGGACCCTGGGCACTGACCGCCGCCTTTTTTCCAGCTCACCTCGGGGGAGGAGAAGAGAAGGAGAAAAGGAGCCTGCTTTTGGGTTGCAGCGGAAGGGGAGCAGCAGCCAAGGCTGTTATGGCCCCAGTAGCGGGGCAGGTGCAAGCCTTGGCCAGGCAGTGGAGCCATCAGGTGGAGGCCTGGGCGTAAGTGGGCTTTTCATTGACACCAGTCAGGTTTGTAATGTAAACGGCTGGGACACGTGTGGCTGCAGTGAGGAGAGGTGCTGTTGGCTTGGAGGCAGCACCAGCCTCCTCCAGCACACTGGTAGGTACTCCCTTGCTGTCACCACGCTCCCAGGACTTTCCCATCTTCTGCCTGTCGCCCTGAGCCTCCCATCACCTGCTGCCTTGCCCTGTCCCCAATCCCCAACTCTTCTACTCACTGCTTGCCTTCCAAGACCCTGCCCAGGGCCTTCCAAGACCCTGCCCATTGCCTCCTCTGTCTCTACAACCCACCATTGCCAGTTTTACACTCTCCCCCAGCTCTCTGACCCTCTCCTTCAAGCTCCTGGGTTTCCCAAAGCCTGTTGGCATGTATCCTTATTCCTCACCCTGAACAAATCAATTCTTCCAAACAGGCTGATGTCTTTTCCCACCCCCAAGACAAATCCTGCTCCCAACCACTTAACCATCCCCCAGCTGCAGCCTCAACTCTGCTCTTCAAAGGAAAACTGCAGAAACCATCCCACAGCCAACAGATCGTTGTAACCCAGAGGTTTCTGATAATGTACCTTCCTCTGCCCTTCTTCTGCCTTCCTGTGGGTAGGCCAGGGCCTGTTTGCACAGCAGCTGGTGCTGTGGCCCATTGCGTGCCCCTTGGGACAGCCCAGCTTTAGGAAGGGGAGTGGGGCACAGCGTGCTGCTGGCAGTGGGCACAGTGCCTTGGCAGGAGATGATAAATGAGGTGGAGGGAGCAGGCATGCATGACTGGTGTCGATGAAAAGCCCATTTGTGCCTAATAAGTCTGAGAAACAGTCCAGGAGCCTTTCATGCGTGGGGAAATATGGCTTGCGGTGCTGCCAGAGCTAAAAATCACTCTGGTTGTCAGTTAAAAGGACCAGGCATGCAGACGAAAGCGGGAGGGTTTCAGTATGTGCATCCACCTCCTTAAGGTTCAGGAGTGCAGTGTCAGCAGTTCCCAACCTGCTCCAGCTCGCAACCACATGCCTGGTCCAGCGTTGTCACTTCCATTTCCACCTTTGGGTTCACCACCCCCTGGGGGGTTGCAGCTCTGCTACTGTAGGGTTCCTTAGCCCAAGAAATTCATTGGGAAGTTTCCCAGTGCATTTGCTGGTTTTTAAACCGGGGCACTGGAAGGGGAATGCTGGTGATGATTTAGATTTTATCCTCCCTAGTCAAACAGCATCTTTTCATTAATTTCTAGTATCTGGCTGGTCTAGCCAGTGCAACTGCCTGAAAGTCACTATTTAGATCCCTAATTTTCCATGAGAATTGAGACTTATTTACTGTGTGAGTTTGGAGCAAAAACTTGTGCAGGAGAGAGATGTTGCCTTTTGTGGCACGACAGTGGAGGACTGCACTTTTACTTGAATTGGGAAAGAGGGAGACAGGGACTGGGGTGTATCCTCTCCTTTAAGGGGCTGGATGAAGCCTCTTTGTTATCATTAGATCCCACTGCTCGGAGAGAGAGTGTTTCTTCACTTACCAAACATATCAGAGGACAGTTCTGACCAATCTGCTTGGTACCATATCTGTAATGGCCACACTGTGTGCCCCGGTCTGTGACGTGGTCAAGAGCTGCAGAAGTCAGGAGCGATTTAGAGCATGCAGTTTGAGAAACCTTTGGAGACCCATTCGTGTTATCTCAGAAGGGCTGAGCACACTGCTTCTGGAAGTAGCTTCCTTTAAAGGATCTCTATTTGGAATCCAAAATCAAAGATCTCACGGCTGAGCTATAGTACACCGATGAAGAGGAACAATGAATGGCTTCCTTGAAACACATGGTAGCGTGCCACTGATCACAGCATTTTGTGAACTGTTCCTGTCATGGCGGGGTGTATCTTTCATTCTTAAGTCCTTGAGAATCGCTTTTCCCCAAACCAATAAAAGCCCAATGCTGTTTGAGCTACAATCCAGGTAGCTGTTCCCAGTTTATCTCTCTTGTTGGCTTTTTCGTCAGTGCCTCCAAGAAGCAGACAATAGCCAGCGAATGCACAGGACAGCGGAACCAAACAGTAAATTGATACAGAGAGACCAGGCTGGGAGAGACAATAACAAACAGTTCCCAGGAGAGGAAATGAACTGCACAAACAAAAAGGGTGGATGAAATTAAGTTTCCACCATCAACATTAATGTCAGCCGATTTCCCTTTGAGTCTTTAATGCTGCCTGACATCTCCAAACCGAGTAGCTGTTCCAGGCTAGGCATGGCGTGCAGGCCCTGGCCATAAGGATATTGCTTGAAGGATATTTGTGTTCATATGGTGGTAGAAGCAATTTCCTCCTTCACTCAGACCTGTGCTCGGAGCATAAAGCCGATGGTTTTGCTCTTAGCAGGACCTGCCTGCAGCCAGACGCGATACGCTTCTGCATGCAAACTCCCACTCATCGCCGTGAGTAGTTCCCCAGCGTTACCCAACTTCTCGGAAGACCTGTCCCTCACCAGGACTAAAATGACTGCCATGTGTCCCTCACCTAATCCTGTGCCTAAATTAGTCATAAATGCACTCTGTTCGTAATAATCTTAAGTCTGGATTACAGAGGTGGCCAGACACTGGGGGTTTCTCCAGTGGGAAGCATCGATTAAGTGCAAGGAGTGGAGTGGCAGCCCGTTGTGTTTATAATTTGCTTTACTCTTTAAACACACTTGCTAGGTAACACCCTGTCAGCTGGGGTTATGGAGTGGTTTCTCCATCTCTCTGGGAAAGCTGAGGAAGGGAGAACCTACGTGCAAAGGTGTAGTCCGCAGGTGGGTGTCCCTGTTCGATGTGTTTGCGAGTCCCTGCACATGGTGCCTCGTGTCATGCTCATGTCTCGCCTCAATTACTTATGCTTCAAATAGACTTTATTCTCAAAGCTTTTATGTGTGTTGCCACAATGGCTCTCTCTTTTTCCCTTGCTAGGTTTCTCAGCTACTTCATTTACACTTGTATTTGGACCAGAAAAAAGGGCAGGTAATCTGCTGAGTGCTTATACTAACCCCTAACTAACGTCTGCCTCCCCATTAGACCAGTTAGAACTGTTTTCAGCTGAGATTGGTCTGAGGCCAGATGCTGTCTGCTCCACTTCCAGTGGGTAGATCCTGCGTGCTGAGCTTTAAAAGCCTGTCTTTGATCTCATCAGCAAAATGCCTTCCAAGTCCTCTGCTGGCAATCAGAGAGAGTCCAGCAGCCAGGCAGGGAGCTTTTTATGTGGAAACCCCATGTAACTCAGGTTGTTGCTACTGCCTTGGCCGAGCTGCTGTGTTTGCTGTTGTTTTCTCGCTAATGGATAAAGGGAGCCTCTCTCCCAGTGCTGTGATCCCATTAAGATGGTTGGGATTGCAGTGGAGCTAGTGAGGCCAGGACATGCATGCAGACCTGTCTGCTAGTGTGGAGGAGAGCTGCTAACCGAAGTTACAGCAAAAAGAGAGGAGAACATTAACAGGTTTAGTATTGTGCTGGGAGTGTGGTGGGTGTGACTTAGTGTTCCCTTGCCTGTCCATTAACTACTGATCCTAAAAAGCAAAAGGCCAGAGGGTGCCATCCTGTATTAACACTGATCATATTAAAAGCTTCTCTTTTCCGACTTGACGTTTTTTGGCTCCTGATTTGTGTCACTTCACCGTGCTGTGTTATAGTTTCCACATCTGCAAAATGAAGTTTGTAGGTATTAGAGGTGTTTTGAAGCCTAAATAATGTCTGCAGAATTCTTTCAGGTTGTCAGACTGAAGCTATGATAAAATCTAGACACTGTTATTTGTTTATATTTGGATCATATTTAATGGGACTGTTATATAAATTGCAGATTTTTAAATTATGTGCCTAATTTTACCTAGTGTCTATGTAAAGCTACTGATGTATGTGGAGTATTTTTAATGAATGATTCCATTAGATGTAAACCCAGTTTTTCCAGACTCCTAAATCCATCTCCCTCTAAAAAGTTTTACTTCAAATGTGAATGCAGAGATTAATTATAGAGAGGTAAAGTAATTAAGACAATTCGAGCTATTTCTGGTGGAGTGCCTCTTACAATGCCTGTCACAATACTGACTTCAGGTTTTGGAAAGCATCAAGATTTCTGATCCCTCCAAGCAAATATTGGTTGCATCAGTGTTTGTGCTCTGGGCCCACAGAGGTTAATGTTCTTTTCTGGAGATGATGTCTGCCACATTTAGAGGAAGGTGGTATGCAGGTTAGCTGGCTTTGAAAGCTCAGTATTTTGATAATGTTTTGTCCTACTCTTTAAAGCAAATATAAGAAGAGAATGTGCTAAATGTGAGTAAGTGAGGTACATCTCTACTACAGTTGCGATTTTGACTGAAGTGGGTAGGTGCACCTAAATTAGATTAATTACTATGTCACATGGATGGAAGCTGTAACTTCACTTAGAATCACAGATGAGCTTCTGTGGCTTAAACATCCCTGTCTTGACGGGCGATGCCCTAATACCGTTGGTAGTGTCATGAATCTACATAAGGTTGATACCAAGTGTTAGCAGTTACTGGGGGGTGATATTGCTGCGTCCTTTTTAGTATTTGTTTTTTGTCCTATTCAGTAGCACTGAGCCCTGCCCCAGCCTGGCCCTCCTCTGCCCCTGTAAAGAGAGAACTGTCCCATGTACGGACCTAGTGAGGTTGGTGGATCCTGGGAGAAGAAGAGGCGAAGGAAGCAGGAAGCCTGCTTTCAGCTTGTGCCATACCTTCACCTACAGAGTGAAATTTCCTACAGGGTGAATTTTTCTATGGGCAAGAAAATCAAGTGAGTTTGGGAGCAGGTACACTATAGTGAGTGGAGAACAGAGAGATGCCTCATCCCACTTGTTGCCACCAAAACCTTGCTATCTAGCAAAGTCACTGTCTACTGGATCGGAAGGGCCATGCTTGTGGGGACAGTCTGTGTCCTAGGAGAAGCTGGATGAGGTAGAAGTTGAGTCTAGTCAGGTAGTCTTGTGCCCAGGGAGAGTAAGGCTCAGTCTTCCAGCACCACTTCATGCTTGGGTCCCCTTCCAGGGGATGAAGTCCCCAAAATCCAGGTCCCACACTGCCAGCAGAATCATTCTGACAGAGCAGTTGGTGTTCAGCGAGGGGAAAGAGAGAGAAGTGATGTCATCCACAGTCCCACAGCCCTTCCAGCCCCTATTTTCCAAAGGTTCTATAATACCGTCATGCTGTTTTGCTCTTGACCCAGTGAAATGCTGTTACCACCGCTACTGTCGTGATATGACTGCGGTCACGCTCTCTAGGATAAAACCAGCCCAGATCCATGTGGACATGCTGCAAACATGCCTTTGGCCTGTGGTGTAGACATAGCTTCGGGACCTGGATCTTCCCTCTGTTCAGACACACGGTGTGCTGAAATTCCTGGGACTTCTCCCATGTCTGTAGCAGTTGGAAAAGCATCTGTACGATCACGGCCAAGATGGTAAACAAAAATCCCCCAAACAGCTGCTCTTCATCTTCCACACGATTGTTTTAACCAAATACAGACCACGATGTGTGCTGTGCTAAATGTTTTCTGTAGTGAAATAAAGCCATTAACTTGTTTTTTCTTTTGTTAATAAATGATAAGTCTTATTGTGGAATAATAAGTGTTTTGTGGGCAGGATGCTCCAATCTGCAGCCCAGAAGGGAGCAGTGATGTATTCTGGTCCGGCCCCAACCTAGAGCCCCCTGGCAGTGTTCAGGCTGTACATCCACTTACATACTGCTTTGACAAGTCTGGGTAAAAGTGGTGTCCGAATTGCTGTAATGTGCCTTATCTGTTTTGTTAAACAGGGCAATATCTACAGTTCTTTGCCATCTTTCTGATCTTACCTCGGTCAAAGCATCCATTTAATTCTTCCTAATTTGCACTAGCAATGATTTTAGAATCAGGCTCTATGTATTTATTTCAGTATTTTTTTCAAGACTGTGTGCTATGAAGTATCTTTCAGACCCTCCCCCCTCAATAGAACATTAAAACCTAAATGTACTTTTTATCACTTATGCTCTTTATATTCTGAATGTCACTTAATGTAGTCAACAGAGAAGGGTAGGTAGGCTCTGTATTGATTGTATTTTCTGGCATTCTTGCTTTGTGGCAGTGGTGTGTAGTATGAGGGTTACAGAATTCAGGAAGAGGTATGCTTATAGTCAACTTTTTTAATGGGGTGTAGCTTTAATGAAAGGTGTTTTTTAACCATCCCATCCTTTACGAAGACCAGCTACATTCCTTTCATGAAAGAATGTGTTGCCTGATTGAGATCTAGTCTGAAAAGAAAAAACCAACTGTGTTAGTTACTTTCTTCCTTAAGCTGCATGAAAAAAAGCACTGGAATATTTCTTTGCATTTAACAATAACTTTTTATTACTTAAAAATATTAAATTTTCTGTGCTCTGGAAGTTCTGTGTATGGCTGAGAATGGCTGGGTGAATATCATCATGGATAATTAACTTTAGAAGGGAGTTATTTTGATGCAGACCATTTAATTGTGTTTCTGAAGCCGAGCACCTATTTGACTCAGATCCTAATGCAGGGAAGTACCTACTAGAAAGATACACCAACGTCCTGCTCCTTTAGATGTGGCCAAGGCTGCTCTGAGCTCAAATGACTGCACTGAAGCATAATAGATGCTTGCTGTCAGAAGTGTGAATGACTTTATGCATAGAACTACTCCAAAAGGAAGCTCAAAGAGAGGGAGGTGACACTTTTGACAACTCATTTTTGTCCTCTCTAGGTTACTGGACCAGGCAATTTTTTCTCTTCGTGTTGTCCTGGTGGATTTCAATGAGCAAGGGAGAAGAAAGGCTCAAAATACACTGTTGAATCTAACTTTCATGTGTGTTATTTGCTTGCTTGTTTAACTAGGGACAGGGGGCCCTGTCTGAGAGACTGAGGAGCTTTAGCATGCAGGATCTCTCGACGATTCGTGGAGACAGCAGCAGCACTGTTCCTTCTTCGGTCACTGTACGAACAAGTAGCAAACAGAGCCAGCCAAAAACATCCAGAAGTGCATCAGAAGGCACTGGCAGCTCAGGTAAGTGCCAGCGTTATTTTCAGTGCTGTGTTGTCTGGAATATCGCAGGGCTGAATGAAGTCATGCAGTTGGCAGGAATATATAGAAACAGACATGGCAGGCAGCACATACCAGCATTCACAGGACACAGACATGCTGTTGAGTCTCTTGGCACTTCAGAGAGAAAACAGTATCATCGTTTGATGGATACTATTCCTGGCTGGTACCAAGGGCGGGACTTGAGCATGCAAGGGAGGCAGCCCCAGTCCTTGCAACTTGAGCTGAAAAGTTAGGCTGTGGACTGGAGGCTGCAAACCGTGGTGTGTTTTCAATGAGAGGGGCTAATGGAAGTGCAAGAAGAGGGGATAAGAATGTACAGTAAGTGGGCGAGGGTCAATATTATCATCAAAGGCCCCATATGGTGATAAAGCCTCTCTCATGTCATCTAAACATAAATGTGAGTTCTAATGGATATCTGTTTTGAATTAGGCCCACTTGTGCTTCTTCTGAACTACAGTAGCTGTTACAACACTTGACAGTTGTAGTTCCAAAACTTTATCACTGTTGAAGCCTGCTGAGAAGTAAAACCTATATAAAGCACTCCTAGAAGCAGAGCCCAAGATCTGACAGCTGTTTATGATATGAAGCCTGTCTGCATAAGCACTGTTACGGAAAATAAGTCTCTCTGAAGGGGAATGGTTTGTTTTCAGATTCTGAAAGAACAAAGGGAAGAAACATCACGGTGAGAATAAGATCCATTCCTGAGGATTTCGTTACAAAAATTTATTTCAAGATTGCTTAAAGAAATCTTTGTGAGCCCAGATCCAAAATACTTAATTGGAGATAGCTTTGCAGATTAGAACTCAAAAATGGAGACGTGGTGGAGGGTTATCCCAAGCAGGGGGGTCCAGATGGCTTCTGGGATTCCCAAACACCACCAAAGATCATGCAACATGACTGCTGTGATGAGAGGCCACAGAAAGTTGCAGGCGTGTTGCACTTGGTAGCTTGTGAAACATATGCTGGCAAGTTTGAAATTTAGCAGTTTCAGCTTGTGTATGTTGAGGTCTGTGCAAACAGTCAGTGTGTTTCAAGCCTGTGTAGGCTGCTGCCCCTTCTAGTTTGCTTTCGTTTTGGAATGTATTACAAATGTCTTGTCTTGTCCTTCCTAAAGAGTGTCCTTCAATTTACAAATTCTGAGGATTGTAGCTCACAGACTTCTCTGTTTATTCTTTTTTTTTTTTTTAACATCATCTGTTGAATAAATTCTTTTTACAGGTAAACTGAAGTAGCTAATGTTGGTGGACAGTGGTTTCATTCTGATGTTTATGTAAGGTCTTGTATACACGACCTCTGTCTGTCCCATCTCACTTGGTGATTTCGTTGAGGTCCCTAATCTAGGAGCCTGCTTGCGGGGAGGGGGGGGGGCCCTTTTCCACCAGACAACACAGAAAGGCACCTCCAGGGGGTGATTTCACTCACAGGTGGTGGCATCGTGCCGTGCGAAGACTACAGCCACAGTTTTGCTCTCACTTTTAATCAGATTAAGTGAGAGATGTGGTCTCTCCAGTCCTTGTGCTGTTTTGTGTGGGCACAATATGTACGTAGTCAGAATGTCTAGGGGGGTGAGTTGATCAGTCATGACTATCGTGTGTGTGTGTGTGGAAGAGTGTGATCTGTCAGCCAGACTGTATCACGTCTCGAGGGCCGTATTCAGAGTGAGACGCCACTGTTCTAGGCACACCAAGCCCAAACATGCTCCCATCACTCCACCTTCCATATTTATTTACTTGGAGTGTTACATGTCAGCAAGGGGCAGACAGAATCTGCTACTGCCTGTTTGTTGTACATACATGTAATACTGTGTGCATATGTGAGTACACACATGAGCAGTGGCTACAGAACAGCTGACACACAGCTGCTTTTCCTGTCCCAAAGCCCTCAGAAAGCACAAATGTCCATGTCAGCAGTCCCCACTGTCTCACGGAAACATTGGACTTCTTTTTATATTCGTGCTTTAGAGATAATAGGACTTGGTCTGACATCAGAGGGAGTCAGCAAAAATACCCCGGACTATCTGTTTGACGTGAGGATGACTCAGCTGAAGACCTTTCCTTTCTTGTAAAATGTCTTGGAAGCCACCAGGTGTTAGAAAGCCAGACAGCAGTAGCTGGGGTAGACGAAATGACTTTAAGAACATTAACAGAGAGCGTGGCAGGGACTGCAAACATAGTACCTTTGGTCAGAGTAGAAGTCCTGCTTTATGGAGACTTTTAGGGAGGGCTTGAAGGAAGAGGTCCTGTGTCTGCAGAAGCAGCAGTGTGGTGGTTAGGAGGCAAGAGTGTGAGTGAGGACACATGAATTCACACTCTGCTGTATTGTGAAATACTGGTATGACCTGGAGTGTGCCTTTGTTCCTCGGTGTGTCTGCAAAACAACAAATTGTACTTCCCATGCCCAGGTCCTGAAAGCCATACATGGTAGAAGATGCTTGTGTATTTTAAGGTCAATACCTTAGAAGATTTCTTACGTGGCTTTCCTGTACACCTTACTTCAGTGATCATAACATGTAAAATACCTGTGGAAAAGTCCTGTCTATGGACTGACCCCAGTTTTGCAAGAAGGTTTCTCTGTGGTAGCAGTGCTCTGTCTTGCCACTACCTCTGAGTGTCTACCTTACTGGCAGCCTCTGAGAAGTTTCTGGACATCTGCAATGTCCCTTTTTTATGCTTTCCCTTCTTTTATTCTGTCCTTTGTTTCCCAGTCCAGGGATTTGCGAAGCTGCATGTGGGTGTGCTGGGATCTTGATGACTTGCTGGTCTGGGTGCCACTCTTATGGCCCTTCTTCTGCCATTTGTTCATTCAGGTGCTTCTGCCCCCGCCCGTTTCCCTCCATCCTCCATCCATACCAACCTATTAGAGTTCTCTGCAAGTGCAGCTCTCAAAAATCACTGCCTGAATTTACAAATGATCAGTAACCGTGGCAGGGACAGGAACCTGAAGTGTTATTTTGACTGGATGTGTTGGGGAGTGCTGCTGCCCGTGGGATTTGCCTGAGGAAAGGAGCATTGCTACACCACAGCCAGACTGACAGGTGGAAAAGCCAAGCACTGCTGCAGCAGTCGTAACCCTTTTCGGTTTGGGACTGGCATCCCCATGCCTGGGAGTGTGTGTGAGCATCACTCAGTCCTTTGGGGGTCATAGTCTTTGATGAAAGAGTACATACACAGATTGCCTATAGGAGCGCTTTTATAGCTCCTTTTATTTCTCTCATATGGCTCTCAGGGATGTACAAAAGCTGAAGAATTAGCTTTGCTTCTAGCACAGGCTTTTAATTTCTCAACAGGAGAGGCAGCCACGTCAAAGAGAGAATAGCAGCCTTATGATAACGAGATGTCAAGTGCTACCCTCAGCCTAGCTGTGTTCACTCAGGCTATTCAGTAGTAAAGAGCTGTAGACTCGGGAAGAAATCCTGAGTTTTGTCCCCATTAAAAATACTTTCTTGTACTATTTTTAAGGGATAATTTTTAACTCAGACCAATTTACTGATCTGCCTTACTGGCAGCCTCCAAAGTAACTCGTTTTGGGAGGCCTTCAGGAAGATACAAGGTCAAGAGGCCAGGAACTGGAAGGTCCTCAAGCCAGCTTTGCTACTGAACAAATGGTGCACGGAAGCACATCCTCGCTTACGACGGCGGGGCAAAGACAAGCGTGGCTCCTGAGGTTGAGGTTACAGGAGTTTAGGTGGGTCCCATTCCTTGAGCAATGAAAACACAGCCGGATCTGGTGTGGAACTTGGTGTTGCTAGTTCCAATCCTGTTGTGTGACTGTGTTTTTACGAGCAGATGGGAAATCTGAAAGTGATTTGAAAACACAGGGGAATGGAGAGAGGTCTGGTGTCTTCCCTGCACAGATGAGACTGCTGAAACTCAGGTTTGTTGGTATGAAACCCCCCCACTCCCCCAGTGAGCACCAGGAGCGGTTTTTCAGGTTCTGGTTTCACATCTCTTGGACATGCTTCCAAGCTCACTAAAACCCGTGAAAAGACTCTCCTGACACCGATGGGCTTTGGCGGTGGCCAAAAGCTGGCTGCAGGTCCACGCTGTACTCAGGCTACATTAAATAACCACTCAGCTTGTTTCATTTCCATTGTTGTTATTTTTATAATGTGACTGGTGCTGATTAGATGGATTTGTGACTCTCTGAATCCCCTCTTGACACAAAGCACCGTGTGAAGAGCTTGGCATTTAGTAACGACCATACACAGACACAGCAAAGGTTTATTTTTGCCTGCTGAAGGGTGTCTTATGAGGCCAAGAATCATAATATGCAACAGCTGCCTTTGAGACAAGGGGAATTACTGCTTCTTTTCCTCTACTTTTTGCTGGTGATTTGTGACTCTCTGAATCCCCTCTTGACACAAAGCACCGTGTGAAGAGCTTGGCATTTAGTAACGACCATACACAGACACAGCAAAGGTTTATTTTTGCCTGCTGAAGGGTGTCTTATGAGGCCAAGAATCATAATATGCAACAGCTGCCTTTGAGACAAGGGGAATTACTGCTTCTTTTCCTCTACTTTTTGCTGGTCCCCCCCCCCCCTCTACGTTTTGCTCTCTTTGCTGCCTTTCAGTGATGGCCGTATGCACTGAGCAGCCCCGCTTGTGCGGACGGCCATCCCCACGAGTGGGACTGCCCAGCATATCGTGGACTTCAGGTGCTCCGAGTGCTCCGCATGTATTCACACCCATCCCACAGAAAGACCCTTATGCTTCTCCTCACACCCATCAAAAGCCACACGCAGATGACATGAAGGGGCAAAAGCTGCTTTTGCCATGATTCCTGTGTGGCTTCCCCCCGGCACGTGACGTGAGGCATTGCCACTGCTCCAGTGAAGCAAGTGCACGCCTTCCTTCAACACACACCAAGGAAACATGATGATTGCCCTTCCTCCACAGAGCAGGCCCACTGCCTGTCCTCTTTATCTGATCTTTTGCTTTGCTCTTAGCTCAGCGTTTCTTG